AGTCTAATTTGTAATTCATCTTTGATTACTCCAAATGATGATATCTTTTATCATAATTCATTACCCCCAAAAATGGTCTAGAAACCAAAGAATTCATAGCTACTAGGTGAGTAGCCGCGCATACGCGCGAGTTTTATCNTAAATGTATTTTGCTTTGTGGTTTTGAATTTTTACCAAAATATATTTGTATTAGGATGGATTATATGCATTTTTGNTTTCTATTTTGACTCTTTATCTAGTTATTTATCATATTATTTTAGTATCGCTATTTTCTTTCAATATATTATTTTACTATCATTTTTGTCCAGTAACGTTAATAACATGAAACTATTGGTTAAACTAAAACCTTTAAAATAAAAAAGACAGATTATTTGTAAGGTTAAAACTTGTGTCTAGTTTTGTTTCACCTCGTATTGTTTTCAATTTGAGTTTCTAGTATATATTAATTGTATTTAATTTGTTCTTTTGGTTAAAAATAAAATCACAAAACATAAAGATTCATATTTTTTACTTATATTATATTTTCCGGTAAATACTTTTACTTTGTTTATAACAAAAACAGATGTTCGTAAATTGAAATTATTGTGTTAGGTAAACTTTTTCTTTTTAATTCTATTATTAGCCTAACTTATATCTTTCTTTATGAATTTAGTTCTAAATTAAGTTATTTGTTTAATTGTTAGGACTTAAAAATAAATTCGTTAATATATAGCATCTTTAANTCCTTTTTCANTATGATCTTATTGCTCTGTTTCATGTTGTTTTGAGTTGTGGTCTACATACGTTGATTTGATTTATTCCTTTATTCATGAATAAAATTTAGACGTTAAAAATAAAAATAGAATCCCATAGCTAAAGTATGTATTTCTATTCACATTTGGTTCAAAAGACTTAAAATCACAAAACATAACGATCTTATTTTTTGTTTATATTATATTTTTACGTAAATATTTTTACTTTGTTTCTACAAAAATAGATTTTCGTATTCTCTTATTCCCTTAGTTATGTACTTATGTATAACTGAAATTATTTTTTTAATTATACTATTATTTTCTAAATTTCTATATTAGATATAAGATTTACCAACTTATAATCTGCTTTATGAATTTAGTTGTAGATTAATTTATTTTTTTAATTGTTAGGATTTGTTTGATATTTTAGCTTTTCTTTATAATATTTGCGATCAAACTTTACTTAAATAAAAGGTTTGTAATATATTAGTATACAACTTTTTATTAAATTTGTAATTCTTTCAGTGAACTATATTTTCTATAAGTTTTTTGTTTTCTTATTTAGTTTAGAAATGAACTATGACTATGATGGTAAAAATAAATATATAATTAGTTTATGTATTAAATTAGAGATTAGAAAAAAATTAAAAAAAATTATGTGTTAATGATGTGGATGATGAGATGGCACAAGGAGAAGTGAGAAAAACTTACTATAAGTTTTTTGTTTTCTTATTTAGTTTGGAAATGAACTATGACTTTTCAAATTCTTTTGTAATGGTAAAACTAAATATATAATTAGTATGTGTATTAAATTAGAGATTAGAAAGAAATTAAAAAAAAAGAAGAAGAATTATGTGTTAATAATGTGGATAATAAGGTGACACAAGGAGAAGTGAAAAAAACTAATTTTATAGATATAGGTCTTAGCTGCTAGCATATATTGTGTTTTGAAACNATAAATAAATTTCAAAAGTTTAGGTAAGGTTAATTTTTTTTCATGTTGGTGTAAAATTTATCAGATTTATTATTCTTCTATGCATCTATTAACCATTTGAAGTCTTTTTGTAAAAATTAAAATGTTCAGTACATTTATCTTTATTTCTATAGGGTGATAANTCAATGATTTAAGTTAAATGTGTGGTTGAA